TTATTATGAGGATAGGATTTGAATTTGAAAATGCGTTCGGTAAGATTTTTTTTTTTTAATCCCCTACATTTTTTAATTTAGCTGCAATAAAAGTTTTAAAATTAACAAAAACACTTCCACTCACCCAATAAATGCCCGCGAATATGTAGGTAGATGAGAGTGTTTTTGTCTATTTATAAACTTTTATTGTTAAGGGTTTTTAGTTAAATTAACAAACCTAAGACGTTAAAAAAATCTAAATATTTTGAATTGAATATAATAGGATTAAATTATTTATGAGCTATCATTGCACTTAGTTGGTAATGATATTCAATTTTAAACAGCTGAGTGAGAAAGAGATTTTGGTGTGTAGTAAAGTGTTAAGTTTAGAAAAGATTGCACTTGGTACTCATTCATATATTTTGAATTGAATATAATAGGATTAAATTATTTATGAGCTATCATTGCACTTAGTTGGTAATGATATTCAATTTTAAACAGCTGAGTGAGAAAGAGATTTTGGTGTGTAGTAAAGTGTTAAGTTTAGAAAAGATTGCACTTGGTACTCATTCATATATATATATATATATATATATATATATATATATATATGTTAATACAAAAGCATTACATGAGAAGAGAATGTTTGTTCTAGAAAGAAGAAAAAAATATTGTAAATTGTTGAATATTTAATTTATGTAGGGAATATGATTTACTTATATGCATAACCATATATACATGCATTAAAACAGGAATTAGCAGTTTAGTACCATAGAAATTGGTAGGACAAAGTCTGGGGAAGGGCCGCCATATCCACCACTGGTTTGGGCAGTGCCTAGCCTTTGCCGCCATGGGATTTGCGATCCCAATTCATATGTAAGTACAACGTAGAGAAGAGAAGGTTAATTCTAAAGATTTTTAAATTGTGAAGGGACTTTCTAGCCAAAGGTTAAGAAGAGGGACCAATTTGAAATTGCCATGGGGGGATTTAGGAGCAGAGTGACGTAAGCAAGAAAAGGAGCGATGACGCAGGATCAGAGGGGGTCCTTTTTGTAATATTTTTATTCTAAGAGAGGTTTTAAGAAAGGATTGACAATAAGGGTTTGATCCTGAAAAGATCTTGAAGGATTAGGACTATTAGTGGACCACATTAATGTAAAAATTAAATAAATTATAAAACACAGACAAAGTAAAAAAAAAATAAAAAAAAAATTGGAGAATTATAATTGAAGAAGTTATCTAAGGCAAATAAATAAGATTTTTCTTGTTAAGTTTTAAAATTAATTTTTGAACTTTTTTGTTCGTTTAAATAAATATTATTAGTTATAAATCTTAAGTGACCAGCCAAATAACGCATAAATATCTTAATAATAGATATCTACTTTAATTAAGTGTTCATGATAAAACAAATTGTCTCTAACTAAGCTCCACGTTCACTTTGAAAGATGACAAATTTGTAAAATAATTCTTCAACAAGCAATTCAATATCCTTCTTTGTATTGATAAAAAAATTCATTAGTTCAAGATAACTAAGATATAAGTTTCTTTGTTCCAATGCCATTAAGTTTCGAGCCAAAGATTCCATGGTGTCGTTTGCTTCAAAACATTGGTTTTGCAGCTCAAGTGCATTAAACTTTACGTCAAGCAAATGTTTCCCGCAAATTGGCGTAAACCTCACTCCCAACTTTCGCAACTTCATTGCATTAGGTAGATCTTCTATAATCGGCCCTTTTGTCTTCAAAATTGGTTCCATTAAAGCACGTCGACACTTATTGGTGAATTGCTTTACTTTGATCACCTTCTTGAAATTAAGGTGGTTTGTAGGGGGAGAGATGAAGTTGGAAGAAAATACATGAAAGAGTGAAAAATGAACGAAATATCTTATGTCCATTTGGAGTTCTGGGGAAAGCTAAATTGTATAATTCATCAAGAACAGAATCTCACGAAAAGTTCCAGTATGAAGATAGCATCATATAGAATCATCTTGACAAACTTATCACTCAAAATCTCAAGGGGCTCTAAATAATGACAACGGATTTTTTGTTCATGGTTTTCAATGAAGGTCTTGAGTTCCTTTCACTCACACTATGTGATTTGTTCATCGAACATTTATTTATATCGTTCCTTTAGTTTCTCCATATCAGAGAGTTCTTTTTTGCCTTGTTGAAAAGGACCGATGGAAATTAATTGAGGACTGTACGCTTCTTCATTTATTTTTCGAAGATTTTTCGAAACCTTGTAGATACAACATTCTGGTGGAGGCTCCAAGAATTCCTCTATATCAAATACCAATTCATCATGTTCAAGAGAAGCACTATCTATATCTAGGTTGTATTTTGTCATCTCCCAACCTATTTCTCCTGTTTATATCAATAAAAAGGACAATAAATTCCATCAAAAGAAGATCCTTTTCTTATATGCGATATGAATTAGGTGTAAAACGTTCAAAAATTTGGCCATGCCAATAATTAAAATACAATCAAAGACAGAATTTTAATTAAACTACTTGCATCATAAAAAAAAAAATCTTGTCTCTAGTGCATTACCGATATCAAGAATAATAGTCAATATCAGAGTTTTAAAACCCAACCTGGCCCAACCGGTTAAACCAGTTCAATCAAGACCCGAGGCCTTTACTGGGTTGGGTACTAATTTTCCTATTCACCGAAAACCCTAGAAATTGTGAAGATGATCGACAAACAATTGAAGGTTGGGATGTTAGGACTTACGAAGAGGAATGGCCAGTGAGTGCAATGGTGTTGATAGATGTGATTTCAGGTAAGTGAATTGACTAGAAATTGAGAAAAACTAATGATAGAAACAGCCAACTTTTGTCGGCGATTGGCAAGGTGAATGGGGGTGGGGTGAGGTGGGTTTTGGTCAGAAGGCTGAGGAGAGTATTTTCGTGGTGATAGGGGGTGTCAATTTTAGCCATATTTTGGGTAGATTTTCTTGGGAATGGGCTCAAGTGATGATTGGGATTGCACATGGTGGGTTGTCGCGGCCAACCAGTCGATCGTCAATTTGTATTTGGGGTGTGTTTTGTTAAATTGAGACACCAAAATTATATTACTGGTGAACATTAAGTATTATTGTCATTCTAATAGATTAAACATTGTAATAGTAGATTCACTGAGTTTCTCAATCTTAACTTTCTACTAAAATCTTTATTTGAGATTGTGCTGCGAGATAAGAATTTGAGCATTATGTCTTTGATATGCCCTATGATCTACAATGTCAAATTATTGGCTTACTTTTTGAGAAGAAGGAAAGTCCGTACTAAAGAATGATTTATGTCTTTGAGGACAATTTCAATTTATGTAGAGATTGTTTGGGACTGGTTTCCTTGCAAAGTTTATTTTTCTTATGAGATTTGTGTCATGTAAAAATTAATTTCAAGAAGCATACTAATCATATAAGGAAAAAGTTACCAATAAAAAGAATTGACGTACCAAGATTGAAAATTTTGGGTTAAAAAAAAAACTTTTTATTTTTATTTTTAGAGCATTAATTAACTTGACCCACTACCCACATGCCGCATAACATTGACGTGGCGTGCCACATACGTCAATTTGTGCAAACTCTCTTATAAAGAGAGTTTTTACAAATAGCTTTACTAATAAGTTAATTAAAGACGGTTGCAAAGTATTCTCAATAAATAAAAACGTCTTCCATTGAAGTATCTTAAAAACCTATAAGACATTTAAAAACCGTCTTCTTTTAATTTTTTACTTAATGTAGATATCTATTCTAATTTTTACTATGAAAATATATTGTATATATTACTCTTACAAAATGTTAGTCTGAAGTATGAAGTATGAACAATAGTTTAAGAAAAAAGGAACTTTTTAGTATGAAATAAATTTTTTTTTTTTTCCCTAATAAATGTTGTAAAAAAGTTATCAAAGACATTTTTATTGAAAATCTTCACTTTTTAAACTTTATGTAATTTTATAGTAGTTACATATAAATAAGGAAAATGCTACACCCAAAATCTCTTCTCACGATCCTAACGTGACAACTCCCAATTGATCAACTCGTAATGGGTCTCACTTAGTAAATTACGACTGACCAATTGTGAGCTGCCACATCGAAATTGTAAGAGAAAGTTTGTGAGAAGAGATTGTTGATCTAACATTTCTCTATAAATAAAGGGATTAAATAAAGGGATCATGACGCATAAGAGAGTATTTTAAAATCTCAACAGAAAAGAAGGTGGGTCGAGAGTGTTTACCACAAGAATCAATGGGTTAAGGCCTCACCAGTGTCAGTAGGCAAAAACCTTTACCATAGAAGAGTGTCGGTGTGCATCTTTCTGCCAACGATCAGATCATGTAAATGACTCCAACATAACTTCAGTAATCGGTAGGAAAGACTCTAGAGGTTATGGTTGCTACAATGGACAAGAAAATCGTACATGGATAATGTAAAAATAATTTCCAAAAGCTTAGTTACGGAGGCTGGAGATTAAACTAAGCTTCTTTAGTTTTATTAAGAGCCTAGTTTTGTTATTCTCATTAAATTGGATTTGTCTTAGTTTGTGATAACTGTTATTATTTTGAAATAGGATTTGATTGAAGAAGTGTACAAATGACATGAGATATCTGTTTTCCCGATGAATTTCTCCAACATCAATTATATATATCAGAGACTATCATGTAGGGATTTCAACAATAAATAAATATTAAATATCAGACACGAAATAACCGTAATATAGCTAATTGTATAATGGTATACAAAACTATATCACTTCATCAATTGTGTTTGGTTGTCTTTCACAATTACCCAGATATCCAATGTGAGTTTAGCAAATGAAAATAAATGAATGTCAAATTTGGTTGGTGATCAACAGAACCGAAATTGGAATAAAATCAAGGATGAAATGAATAAAGAAATAGAAGCAGATTCCTTGCATTGTATCATAGTAAAAAAATTATGTATATACAACACCAATGGTTGATGCCCCACCATTTTTGCTTGTTTCATTTACAATGTACGGTGAACAAAAGTTCTTCGCGTTACCTTCACTTTGCATTTTTGGCAAAAATCAGTTTGCCAGCTTTCCTGTTCGATACTAGAACCCATTTAATCCAAGTTTTTCTTTCAGCAGGTGACAAACCTATACATAACATAAGCAATGGACTGGAGGAAGTTAAATTGAAATATAAGTCAAATGTTCATATTCTGGTAATACAAAAAAACAAATGGTTATAGATATACCTTGCTTTCAGCAATGTTCAACAATCTCCATCTTCTATTCAGCAGCTAGTTAGACCAAGGTTGCTCACCATTGAGGCAGTAAAAGCTTCGATTTGACTTTGCCCATGGAATCACTTCCTAAGTCCGCTTATATCCATGTTGCTGAGAGAATGGAAATGCTTGAAATCTTGAGTTATCTAACATTTTTGGCTCTAGAGATTATGTCATATATAGAAACTGATGGTTTTAAACCTGACTCTATCATCTCATTAAGTAAAACCCCAGCCTCTTGCCACTTCCCGTTCTTGCAAAGGACACCAATGGTGGAGCTATAGCTAGCAACATTTGGAATAAGTCCCTTCTCATCCATTTCTTTAACCAACCTAAGGGCCCTATATGAGTTATCCTCTTTGCAATACCCGTAAATCATCATATTATATACAACATCATTCGCCTCCAACTGCATCTCACTCATTGATTTGAATAGTTTTGACGCCTCTTTCATATTGCCATTCCTACACAATCCATGGATCAAAACACCATAGGTGTAAACATCTGGAACCAAACCAGCCTTCTCCATGAAGGCAGGTATCTGAAAAGCTTTCTCCACATGATCAGATCGAGCAAATGCATCTATTAGAATTGTATAAGTAACTTTCGAAGGAGTTATGCCCCTCTACTCCATCTCCCCAAGTATATCAAAATCTCTACCTAAATTTCCTGCTCTACAAAAACTTCCAATTAGAACATTATAAGTCACCAAAGATGGAGAATGACCATTTGACTTTAATTGATCAAAGAATGTCAAAGCCTTGTCCAATTGCCCAACATTACAAAACCCATCTATTATTGTGTTATATGTGATTAAATTTGGATTAATACTAGCATTTCTCATCTGATAAAATAACCTCTCCGCCTCCCGGATCCTCATCACTTTACATAATCCACCAATAAGAGTGTTATATGTAACCACATTGCAAGCAACACCTCTTTCACGCATTTCATCAATCAGTTTAAAACCTTCACTTATTTTTCGATCATTGCAATACTCATTAATCAAACAATTATAAGTATACAAGTTTGGTGACACCCCATTAAACTGCATTTTTTCATATAGCTCAAACCCATTCCTTTTAAGGCCTTTTTTAAATAACCCACTAATCAAAACAGTGTAAGTGTACTGATTAGCAACGCTACCCCATTTTATCAAAAAACTTTTTAGCTCTCTCGATATCACCATTTTTACAACACCCATCATTCAAAGTAGTATATGTGACAACATTTGGAGACCAACCCAAATCCTCCAACTGATGAAAAACCTCAAATCCCTTGTTCAAATCACCAGCCTCACAACATCCCTTAATCATTATCCCAAAACTATAGGCATCCAATTTAACCCTACATTTATTCTCACTAAAAAACAACCAACTCTTCTCAAAACAAGAAGATTTGATAAGAAAGCTCAACAGATTATTAAACAAGTTTGATTCAGGTACAAGACCCTTATCAACCGTTTGATTAAAATAAAACAGAGCTTGCTCTACTGACTGAGATTCTATAAGAGCATTTACAATTGCTTCATAAAGATGAAACTTGACTGTTGGGTCGCAATTGAAGTGTTTTTCTGTTAAGTGGTGGAGAAGAGAGTGAGGAGTGATGACTGAAGGTGAGATGTGACCAGATAATATCTGTAGAATGAGAGACTGCGCATGAGATTGCATGTTCGAGGAGAGAAGAAGGTGGAGAGTTATTGATATGGATTGTGGGGTGTGATGGAGGCCTTGGAGAGTCATGGATTTAAAGAACGAAAAAGCTTTGAGAGGTGGAATTTTCATCATATTTGATATGAGAGCCAGAGCTTGCTGACTGTGTGACATTTTTGCAGCTACAATTTGCATGTCATGGCTTTCTGACTACAAAGTTCTTAATACTGCACAAGAAAAATGAATATTAGCTGTAACCGAACTTCCAGATCAAAGAAAATTTTCCCATTTTTTATTTTCCCTCTACTGTGCGACATGTTTGCAGCTACAGTTAAAATATTACGCTGTGATGGAGGCCTTGGAGAGTCATGGAGTTGAAGAAAGAAAAAGCTTTGAGAGGTGAGATTTTCATCATATTTGATAAGAGAGCCAGAGCTTGCTGACTGTGCGACATTTTTGCAGCTACGGTTTGCCTGTCATGGCTTTCTGACTACAAAGTTCTTAATACTGCACAAGAAAAACGAATATTACTCTGTAACCGAACTTCCAGATCAAAGAAAATTTTTCCCATTTTTTATTTTCCCATTCCCATACCATTTTTTGTTCACTCTCTTCGAAAATGTCAGCATAGATAACAAATTATTTACAAATTCTTCAAAAAAAAAAAAAAAAAAAAAAAAAAGTGAATTCGCTTCTTGCAATGTCAATACAAATGATATGTCTCATCATCTTCAGTACACAAACTGTCTGTAAATGATTTTACCTTGTAACAAATATCACAAAATACAGAATCATCTCATACAAAAACTATTAGCAAAATTATCAAAATTATAATCTACCTTCATCCCATCAAAGATACAAGGGAAAAGGAAAGAAAACCGTAAAATATTTTTAAACACAAATACAAAAATAATGTAGCACAATTAGATTCATTTTAGTGAGAGAGATTTTAGAGCTAGTTTTACACCATTGCTACATTAAAACGACAGTCAGCAAAAAATTGTCAAAATTATAAATTTAAGCATCATATGAATTAAGAATTAAAAGCACAGCACAGCACAGCACAGCACAATTTTACTTCAATTTTGAATTTTGAATGTCTTTAAATTAAATTTAAGAAATTGAGTTTAAAACCGATTGAATGCATCATTCACTTAACTCATAGAAAGAATAAGCAGAAAAGAACTAGGAAATACCTCCACAGCGGCGTGCGGCGGCGTGTGCGGCAGGTAACGCCGGCGACGGCTCAAGAATGCAACCAGAGAGCTGATAGATCTTGCGGGATTTAAAAGACGACCTCATTTTAATATTTGTTTGTTCAATGTCATTAAGATCCCTATAGATTATTATAATACCAATCGTCTACTCCAAATAAAATCACATCGTAATACTTGTCATTATTACATATTTACCTCTCTTTTAAATGTTTACGGGTTATTTCATTTTGTCCCCATGAATTATTAAAAGCATAGAGTTTTATAATACTAAATTTTTATTATCAATTGGAATCAAAGGATCATTTTTGTTGATTTTAATAGATTATTTTATAAAATTGTATTCCTAGAATTTCATAATTACCATTGCCCCTGAGTAGAGGTGACAATGGTTTTTTTGGAACGGCACGACCCCTAATTCTTTTGGCACAACACAAAAATTTCGTGTCGTGCCATGGCTCGTGGACTATTTGGGATGTGTTGTGAGCTTAGGATTTAGCATGTGGGCCTAGCATGGCCCATGAATTTAAAAAATAAAAAAAAAATTAAATTTTTTGAGAAAAGCCTATGCAGCACGTGGGCCAGCCCACAAAGACAAGGCACAACCCATCGGGCCATGGGTCGTGCCGTTGGCCTTGAGTTTTGATTGCTTGGCAGTTGGCACGGCACGACCTATGGCACGGTGGGTCATGAAAATTTTGGCTCGGCATGGCCTACCGCCATCTCTACCCCTGAGGGCTTAGCCTAGTGCTTCATCGAGTTTGATCTTTGGATTAGGCCTAATAGGTATTTATAAGTGGATGTTCATGTAAATTTTTAAAATCTAATAGGTTTAAAGTAATTTCCTAAACTTCTTAGGCATATAAATTATAAAGAGACTGAAACCCCATGGCCACTCCAAACTGGTAACTTCACAACATCGCTGTGATGACTATGAAGATCATATCTTTAAGAACAAAACCTCTCCAAATCCTTTCTTCTTCCTAAAATCTCTTAAAGTTTCAATCTTTTTCATCATCTTCAACAATTGAACATTCTTCATTGAACCCAGAACCCAAAACTGCAACTTTAACACCACAATTAACCCAACAAGAACTCGCCAAAATCAACCTCTTAATCCCACGCCTATGCCTCACAAACAACATTAATACCGCCATTAATCTCACTCTCACAGCTTTACGAACAAACGCGCCTCCCAAGTCTCTATCTTTCTCCATTTTAACTCACTCTCTCACTTCCCAGCCCGACTTGGTCCTCCCCATGGCACTTTTAACCAAACTCAAACATACCCCACGAGCACACTCACATCTCACATTAATCACCACACTTCTTGTGTCTTCATATCTCAAAAAGGGTAGGCCAAAAGATGCTTTGAAAGTGTACAACTGGATGCTGAGGCCTGGCTCTCCATGTAAAGTGGAGAAAGTGGTGTGTGAGGTTTTGGTTGATGGGTTGTGTAGAAGTGGGTTGGTTATGGAGGGATTGAGGGTTTTGAGGGACATTTTAGGGATGAATTTGGTGGTGAGAAGTGGTTTGAGGAAAAGGGTTTTTAGGAGTTTGTTGAGAGAGGCTAGAATTAGGGAGGCTAAGGAGTTGAATGAAGCTTTGGAGAGAGTTGAGAATGGTGAAGGTGAGGGTTTGGAGAAAGTGTTGGCTTTGTTGGATCAGATTATTGCTAATTGGACAGAGTAGAGCAGGTTAGTCTTTATTGAAAGACATTCTCTGTGTTTATTTGGGATTTTGTTGTATATAGTTTTGTATAAGATTTTCTCCTTGAAATCAATATGTTAACTTGATAATGATGCAGGAATAAAGTTTTAGATTAATTGAATCCATGAGATCGAAATTACATTATCTCATGATGAGCTTAGGTTTTTAGGTTTCTTTATCTCGAGTTACAGGAAGTACCATTTCTGATGTGTGAAAAACAAGGAAGTTTTAGAAATCTTGAAATGATTATAATGAGTGAAAATGAATGCTATTAGTTCCAAATTGCAGTCTGTTTTTATTATGATTTGATATTTGCTTGTGTGGCATCTGTTCTTTTCGCGTGTACTCTTGATATAGCAATATCATTTGTTTTCATTGACATTGTGCTTGAGTTTGCTCCATGAAAAGATGTAGGGGACTGGAGAAGATATATAACCTTGGAATTGCGTATAACAATTCCTTGGAGTTGCTGATCTCTGCAACATAACAAAAGCTGATCAAGAATTTTGGTGTTAGAAGTTTAACATTGATGTTGGTAGATGCTTTTTTCTTTCCATGATATGTGCATATCCATGACACAAATTTGTGTATATTAGTTCTTACTGTGAATGCATTAATAAATCATTTTCTTTATTCATAGAAAATTGCAAGCAGTTAAGGGTAAAAAGGAAAAACGTTCTAAGCAAGATTGACTGGTGTTTGGCTTGTGACATGCTTTACTTGATCTACTAAAAGGATAATTTCTCTGTATCTACTTGTAGCATTTTCTGTAGTGCCGTTCTGAAGTTCTATTGATTAGGAATTTAGCACAGATTACCTTTTGTACCTACAAACTACAATACATGTCCAATCCATTGCTTGATTAGTGAAGCATGTTATTTACATCAGTTATTCCATTGGTCATTCCCAATAGTATATTGTCATGCAGCTAATAAATTTTAGGTGAGTCTTTGACTTAAGACAGTCCTCTGCTTCGGTTTGATCAGTTGACTGACTGGGGTTAAGGCAGACATAACCATCTCTAGTTTATACCTTTATTAGACTCTTCAGAATGAGATAATGAAGAGATCACTTCCTGATATATGGTTTTGAGTAAATCTGTATGTGAACAAGTCTTATTAGGTTGAGTTAGTCACTACAAACTGGGAAGAACAGTCCCTGATAAACACAATTTCAGTGATATGCAAATGGAATATATCCCTAACTATATTCTAAATTCAAGTAAAAGTTAGTGCAAGGTGAAAATTTCATATTGTAACCTTTGTTCCATATGTTGCATTTACGGATTTACACATAATTCTAAGGCATTGGCACTTTGTTTTTGGCATTTAGGAAAATGGTATAACTTATCAAGGACCAGTAGGATCTAAAGCATCAACTTTTCACAACCTCCATTTTAGACAAGGGCAAGCAAGTATTGAATTTCGAAAAGCGTACTAGTCTTAATAAATTTATTTTTATTGGTTGGTTTGATGAACCAATGTAGGCGGCTTGGAACAGTAAAATTAGGTAAAGGCATAGTCAAATAATAAAAAGACATCACAGTTTCTAAAGAAAAACATTGCAAAATGGGGTTAGAAATGAAATCTGGAAGCATCTTATGACTCTTTTAAGTTAGTTTCGTCATGGACTTGTTCAGCTGGTTTTGCATATCTATATCTTTCCTCCTCAATTTATTTACTGAATGAGTTATGTGATCCCACCTCAGGTATGACTGAACTCGTTGGACTCAAGCAAGTGACTATGCGATAACTGTCTGCCCCCCTATTTTGTTATCGATTCATTGTTGAATGTTATCGACATTGATATCATTATATGTTACTAAAATGTTCGAATCATGACAATATTACTCCTCGCCTCGAGCTAAAGAAATCTTGAAGGGTTTGGAATTTTTATTTTCTATTTTCTATTAAATAGGACATCTTAATAAAAATTTAGTTTATTTTGCCCTAGAGAATGAAATTATAATTGTGATTTTAAGAAATTTTTTTTATGAATGGTTTCATTAGCGTAAATCTTCCTCTACAGTAAGGACTAAAAATAGCAAAATATTACTTATTGTATATATTAAAAAAATCATCGAAATCAACGTTAAAATCCTCAAGAAATTAATCCAGTTCTAGAATAACTCAAGCACAGTAAATGGATGAAAGAAAATTAAATTTATTTTAAAAAAAATATATCCATGAATTTCCTGAAGGTTTGACAAATTAATTTTGATTATTGTATAATAATGAATGTGTTTAATTATTTTTACAAAATACAGAGACATTAACCGGCTTCAAGTGGACAACGTTGTCAAAACCTGTAAAACACAAGACGCAGCTCAAAGTACGAGCTTTGAACTTTAACTTGTAATAAGATTTCTTCTTTCTCCCATGGTTATCTCAGTTTCTCTTCATCAACTCACTTACTCTCTCTTCTCCAGTTCCCAGGTCCATTTCTCTCTCTTGTTTCTTTTTATTACTTTCTATATGCATATATGTTTAGCCATTGTAATTGTATCGTATTGTATGTGTGCAACAGCAGAACTTGAAGCATAAAAGTGTTCACCAGGGATGGTCAGAGCGACCCGGTTACTGTTTCAGCAATAACAGCAAGAACAAACTCAGACCCATCAAAGCTTCAGTGGAGACTCCTTTTCCACTCTTTCAACCTCCCCAAGTTGACGAATCAGATTCTGATGGGGTGATTTTTTACATTTTTATGTTTAATTTTTACCCTTTCAATTTTGCATACGTTTAATGATCAGTCAAGCTGAGGATAGTGCAAATATATATCATGCTCAGTAAAGTGTTCTTTAATTTTTATATTTTGCTTCAAGGGAGTTACAATTTGGTATTCTTTCAAGAGTTGAAATTATAGAAACTGAACTTTATTTTAGTTTTTAGAAAATTGTTTTTTGAAGCAATGCAATTGAACATGTTTTCATAAAATTTCTTGTATCCCTTGTTTTTGAATGTAATGCTTTTTGTTTTTCATAAATAGTTGGAGCCAGCAGACCCTGATTTCTATAAGATAGGTTATGTTCGAAGTATGAGAGCATATGGAGTTGAATTCAAAGAAGGGCGCGATGGATTTGGAGTGTATGCATCCGAAGATGTTGAACCACGTCGTCGTGCTAGAGCGAGTCACTTTGTTTGCAACTGAATGTGTGTATAATTAATGGACTAGCTATGGAATTGTACATCATGTGCTTGTGTTTCTCGTTGTCTTTGTGATGCTAATATCTGATTTATCACTAACACGTATGGAATGCTTTTCACTTGTCTGCACAGGTAGTCATGGAATAACCTCTGGAGCTGATGAAAACCATAAGGTAGAAACTCCCATGGATGTTTTTCCCAGAT